GGCCTATTGGAATGCACTGGTATGCCCAGCTTAACAATTGCTTTTTGTGTAATGTCACAGCATGAGATGTGGAGTCAGACAGACACAGGTATGGATTTTAGTTTTGCTATTTCATGTGTGATCACATAAGCATGGGATGGCGATCCTCCTGAGTCATTCTCTCTACATCCTTATCTGGGGAATGAGACCGTCTCTCTTGCACAGCTGTAAAGAGGTTTAAATGAGGCAACGCACAATAATGCCACCCACTGCTGGAATACAATGAAAATTCAGAAATGACAGCTTTCTTTCTTATTATCCCGGTTTCTTGAACACAGCATAATTGGGCCTTGTACTGCACTAGTTTCCGTAAGTGGCCCAGGTTCTCCTGGCTTCACAGCCTTGGCGAATGCCACCTGCTCTTCTCTTAACCCTAGAGAGTATGTATTCTTTTTGCTTAATTGGATCTTCCTGAGCCAAACTCAAATCTAGGCCTAAGTATCACCTCCCCAAAGGGAACCACTCTGTCCCACGAGTCCCTGGTATCATTCACCCCTCTTTATTCTCTCTCACCTTGCGTGGCTTTCAAGAATTAACAGTCACATGAAGCTATTCAAATACTTTCCTTGTGCTTCTCCCTAACTGGACGGTAGGCTTTGAGGAAAGAGAGTCCATTCATCTTCCATCTTCATGACCTGGGACAGCAGCTCACTCACCCAGAGGTGGTGTCCTGGTTGACACGTTAGGTACCTGGTTGTAAAGATCACCTACACTGTTTCCTGATGTTCACCAGCACTTGTGTCCTCCATTTCCCGTCTCTCTCCCCACAAAATGAAGATCTGTTTTAAACACAGCACATAGAGAAGTAGGTACAGTACCTCACGGACACAGCCTCTAGACTTTCCCCAGGAAGTTACTTTGGGCAGTTTGGGTAACCAAACTGTGTGTGGGACCATTTCACACGCTGTAGTAGATGTAATGTTCCTGGCCCCTCGATGCAGGTTGCACTCCCCGTGAGTGGGAGAATTCAGAAAGTATTTTCCAGACGCTCTTGACGGAGTGGTACAGTGCAGATGAAAAATGACAGGACTTGTAAACCTTGGGCACTTCATGAATGACAAGCATTCAAGGACATTCTCTGACACTCAGAAGCCGGGTCTACGCCCATCCTCTTTAGTCTCCGAGCGCCGTTCTTGCCAAGACTGCTGATCTTGGGGAGCAAAGGGAATGGAGAGAGCTTGTGTGTGCTAACGTGAAGGACAGAGATCAGATAAGCATCACCAGAACACATCTGGCGCATAGTACTTCCTATTTTCTCCTGCCAGGAATCCACTCCTTCACTGAATCATCCCAGAGAGAGGAGGATGGAGGCATTTCAAGGATGTGGGCAGCAGGCTCAGACTCGACTGGGAAACTCCTCTCAGACTCACTCTTTCCAAAGCCTGCAAACGCCAGCATCACAGAGCTACACATCCCAGGGAAGCTTCTCAGGGGCGATGTCGCGGCACATATATCCCATTTCACATGATCATACTGCCCCAAACAATCAAAAAACAGGGAGGGATCAATCGGTAGTTTCAGTGCTACGAATCAATACTTAGTTCATTACGGTTATCTGTGATCGTAACAAGTATATTTGCTGGGGAAGACATTGTATTGACTAGAAAACGACTGAAGAAATGTACTTGATCCACAGATGAGCTCATCTAGGAATGAATAATTCAGGCGGGCAGCCACCCGAGAATAGGTAGCCTCCCAGCTAGAGGTTATCTTGACCTCTGTTTGTATGTGGGCCTGCTTTGTCCTTTTGCTACTGGTGAATGAAAGGAAATTAGGTCTGTTATCTTCAAGTAATAGTGAACAAGAGCTGGCTTAGCATGTTGGCTCTCATTTCATCAACCCATTAAAAAGTGTATTTGTCCCTCTTGGAGAAGTTATTCATAGGAAGCACTAGTTCAGCAAGGCAGGACAGTTCAGTACCCCTTATCCAAAACATCTGAGGCCGGAAATGCTTGAGTTTTACAATTTTTTTTAGATTTTTGCCCCAGCTGTATATACACAATATATTGGGGAGAGGACCTGAATCTAAACATGCAATTCATGAATGTTTCATATATATTTTAAATACATGGTATGAAAGTAATTTTATACAGCCTTATAAATAATTGTGTATAGGAAACAAAGCTTCCTGGTTTAGAATTTTTCACTTGGGGCATCAGGTTAATACCCGAAAAGTTTCAGATTTTGGATCAGGAATGCCCAGCCTGCAGTCATTCAGGATGTGGAGTTTGAGAGGTTAGGATTTATATCCTGCTTTTCTCCAAACAATAGCATCACTTGTGGTGAGTCACTTGACCTGGCCAATTCTGATTCTTTATCTGTAAAAAGGAGATTTTTGTAGTGCTTCACACCCCCTTGCCCTGCTGTGATGAAATGAGCCAGTGCACATAAAACACTTTTGCACACCGGCCCTTTGCACACCTTTGCACGTCAAGCTAGAACAGAACAAATGCAAACTCATTTTTGAGGCAGGACATGCTTTTCTCTTTCTACCCTGGACTGGCATAAGGATGCGGGTGGAAAGGATAAACAAACAGTAGGAGAAAAGACACAGGGGAGTCGAAGGCAAAGGTGAAAATAGGATACGGGGCCGGCCAAATCTTGAACTGAAAGATGAGGTAAGTTTTGCATTATCTTCTCGATTTGGTGTCCAAAAGTTTCTCTTTGGAAATGGACTGTGTCTCCATGCCCCGTAAGGTTACAAAGAGCTACCGAGGCCCTACATGGTCACCAAGCCAAGCATGGGTGAAGCCCCTTCCTCCTCCGTGGGAGCTCTAGCTCAGTGGTACTGCAAGGTGGTCTGAAAACTGGGTCCCTAGAACTCAGCCAGAGAAACACAGAAACAGAGTCAGTGTGGAGAGAGCACAACTTGGCAGAGTAGCTCTGTGTCTGCTGAATCAGAATCTAATAAACGGGGTACATAGTTCCATATCTTGATTAATTATCTACAATTTTACTTTTGTGAATTAATTTTTTCCTAAAAATTCAGCTTATTTCATTTTCCAAAACCATAGGTTCACAATGGATTGGAAATTTTAAAAGCTGGTCTTTTTCTATGCCTGCTTTGAGCAGCATTACTCTATGGAAAATAATCCAAGCTGGGTGGGGAAGTACACACCTGTTTTCCTATCACTCTGGGAGCCTGGGACAGGAAGGAAGATCACCCCAGCATGGGCAATTTAGTGGCTTAGGGAGACCCTGTCTCAAAATGACAAATATCTAAAAAGGGCTAGGGATGTACTTCAGTGCAAAGGCCCTGGGTTTAATTCCCAGTAGTGGAAGGAAAAAAAAAATCTAAATTTGTGTGCTGCATTGAAAAAGTCATTATTCCAACTGTGAAAGCTTTTTATGGACTAATATTTGAGGAAATTTCTTACTCTGAACCTTTGTTCCTGAGAATGTTTAAAATAGTCCAGGATCTTTATTGCCTATAACATTGAAGCTTTTGTGAATAGAAGGAAGAGTTCTAAAGATTTTTTTTTCAAATATAGAAAAAACAGGCACCAGGAAGGTGAGGCAATTTTAAAATCCACCTTGTAGAACACGTATCAATATGTACTAATACAGAGTAAGTCCTGTGGTATATTAGGAAAAACCTTGCTGTACAACTGTACTTGCACTATGATCCTAGATTAACTACATGCACAGAAAAAATCCAAACTAATATGTAATGAATTCTCATTTGTTCTACCTGGGGAAGGTAGAACAGTTCTTCACATTTCTTCCCCTGGGAAGGGTTAAGCTTACAAAACCATTACTTATTTATCTTATGTATATCTTATTTGCACTTAGTTTTTACCACAGTATAAGATATTTTGTAAAAAAAAAAAAAAAAGTGGTTGTTTATACATTGGATAATTTGCCTTTTTTTCCCCAATCTTAGGGATTGTACCCAGGGCTTTTGCACTAAGCTATATCCTCAACCCTTATTCTGAGATAGAATCTTTTAAAGTCACTAGTATGTCCAGGCTGAAATAAAATTTGTGATAAAACTTGTCTCAGCCTCCTAGAATGGTGGGATTACAGGTATATGCCATTTTGGGGTTTTTAATAAACATACTTGTACCAATATATGTATGGAGATGGTTTAAAAAAAGGGGCAGGAGGCAGTTAAATGGAAGCCCTGTGAGGCTTACATTCCTATGGCTTCTTTTCCTCTTTTGGAGCCAACTTCTATCTGTCCTTTTGAGGCATACTGGCAGTTCTGAGCTTGCCATGTTTTGAACAGGAAAAGGTTATTATGCAATATACATGTACGGAAATATTCATCTAAGTTCTGCCTTCATTTCAGTTGCCACCGGATTCCAGTGAGCAGGATTAAACAATGCCAAACGAAGTGTTTTCTTGAATTTTAAAAGGCCTGTTGAGCTTGTCTGTGAAAGTAGGATGAATAACTTTACAAATAAACAACACCCCCAAGATCAGCAAACCTAAAAATTCTCATCAGTCATCCTCAGGAAGGGAGGCAATAAACTGCTGTATTTCATCAATTCTGAAACAACTTTATTGTAAGACACAGCATTATTTTAGGAATCACTAAGAGGAAAAAAACAGTCGGTCGACTAGAGCCAATCAAAAGATGAACCCTCTTTTCAGATGTAAATATGAAAAAAAGTCTATCTTAAAATAAAATATGGTAACTCTGTAACTAAAGATCTGACATCTTACCTAACAAATTACTTAAAATAAAGCCCTTCAAACTATTTTGTTGAACCCTCGGTGTATATGGAAGAGGACATACACATTTTCAGTAGCATGCCTTGAGTTTATTGACCTATGTAAAAAAATAATAGGTCTGAAAAAGTCAGAACAGTAAAAGAATATGCAAAGGGGCATTTCTGTTTCTAGAAGGCTATACAAATATGCAAAAAAGAATAAGTTATTTTTTTGTTTGTGGCTTTTTTCCCCAAAAAATCTTCCCCCAAACTTCATTTCTAATGATACAAATGAGTAAGGACCAGTTTAACAAATCATTTTTATGTATATATTACATGCTTTGGAATACAGATAGAAAATGGTGTTCAAAAAAGTTGTTCAGAAACCTCTATTCACAATATGAACAAGAAACTTGTACAAAAGGGGATGGGGCAAGGAGCACCTTTCATGGAATTCTAAAGCAGTCAAGACAACAAAGACCAATCCGCAAGAAGGAAATCATTTGTTCTTAAAAAAAAGAAGCAAGAAACAAAACCATCCAATAAACCATAGCTCATCAGTTTTTCCAAGGAAAGTATGAGGTAGTGTTAGCCTCATAATCCAATCCACTGCAGCTTGGAGTCTTTTTTAAATGCTAATCTTGTTTACATCACGTGGTGACTCATAACTACTTGTAGAATCCAGAAAATTATGTTGAATTTTCTAATGTTCACCATTTTAAGGCACACAATTCATTTACAATTACGTGGCTTTGTTTTGTTGTTGTTGGGCCCCTTTTTGTACCACCTTAAGATCCTTTTCCAGACTTGTGATCATGACAACTTTCTCTACCAACTCTACCATTTCAAGTGAACCCAAGGTAAGAGCGTGACCAGCCTGAGTAACAGCTCATCACGCAAGATGTGGAGAAAGAAAGCAGGAGCCCGGGGATAAGGTACCTGGGAAAAGTCCAAGCAGAGTTTGTCCCTTATTCAGTGGGCTGCTTCCTTTTCCCTAATCTGCTACATAAAGTTATATTACAGGGTGCTACCGCAAGAAGTCTGTCTAGAACCCCTATTTCGGTGCTTATGAAAATCCTCACTTTTTGTAACTCCAAAAAGCATTTACACTCATTCAAAACTTCATGAAAATCTGACTTCTCTTCAAGTAATTTTCCAATACTGCCTAAATGGTCCAAGTCCGTGGAGAAACAGCATGCTATTCTGTGTGAGCTCACAAATTGAAACTTGTTGTCCGTGAGCTGCGGCTTAGGAGCTTCTGGTTTCCCTTCTGTCATCATTCTGAATTGTGCTCTAAAATCTCCCCTGCCCTTCTTTCCAATGGGAACCCCACCCCTACCCCTGCCACCCCACTACGCACTTTCACAGCTTGGAGGTTTGCCTTTGATAATTTTTGTGCCCTCTCTCGGCAGGGTTTTCACGGGGGGGGGGGGGGTCAGGCTAGCGCCTAGAGTTTGAAAGGCACTTCCTCGCCCAGGGGCTCCTGGGCCTGAGTGTGTGGTTCCTTTCTAGGGCAATGTGAGTCATTTACGCAACCGGGGATGCCTTTAGGTTCTTAAAGCCAACAGCCTCCTGGGAAGGCGAGTACATTTTGTTTTGCAAGGCACGCCAGTGTGAGAACGCAGCGCTAGGTCCAGAGGCCCAAGTGCAGTTCAGACTAATGTTCCAGGCTTCGAATCTTCATGCCAGAAGAGCCTCTGCTCACTACTCTCCAGGCCATCCTCCAACTGGCTTCCATCTGCACTGCTGTCCGGGTGCCTGGTCTCTGCGTATGGTCTATTGGAGGAAACCGAAGAAGTTACTACTTGTAGTCATTTTTGTTCCTACCATCCGAAGACTGCTCCACTCAGAGAAGTTAGTAAGAAACACTGTTAAGAAATTTTCTATGGGCTGGGGATTCGGCTCAGTGGCATCACGTCTGCCTTGCAAGTACACGGTCCCGAGTTTGATTCCCAGTACAGAAAAACAAACAGACAAACCAAGAAAAACAAAGCAAAAGATAACTGAATGATCTTTCCACATCACACACTGTCTAACAGGCCTATAAAGGGATTATTTAATTCTCTAGGGAGCGGTACCTTTGTTTAACGGCATTTACCACAGATCAGGACCTAGATTGTATGAAGTTACATGTTAACTTGTAGGTTTTTGTTGGGAAAGAAATACAAATGATTTCCATCTAGCAGAAAAGATTATGGGCTACGGTTTTAGTGCCCATGTGGGAATGTAGCTGGTTTGGCATCTAATTTAATAATCTTATCCCAGCACTCATGCCTCTGTTGCCTTGAATGCTCCTGGGACCAGCGTAACCTATCTGCTAGTTTCCTAATAAGTGCAAAACATTTCAACACATGTTCATCTGAAAATGTGTTCAGTAGTCATATTTTACACTTTTCAAAAAGTCTATGTTGACAACTGTATTTTATTCTTTGAATTAAAGTCACATATGCTTTTCTCGGGGACAAAGAAATGTATTCAAAGGCAGCAGGGGCTTCTAGGCACATGTTTTACCTCCCAAGGGCTTATGAGCTAAGTATAAATTGGCTCGGACCCAGAAAATTGTGTGACATTTAAAAATAACAGGCATATTTGGGTGCACCCTATTACACAGACCATTCTGATAAGCAAAAGCACGCAGTTATAATAGTAGGTTAATACAGGTTAGAGGTAGTAGATTGCTGCTCTGCTTTTAAGTTTCAAAGTCTTAGTAAAGGTGATTAAAAAGCCTTGAAAGAAGAGCTCTGGAAACACATACTTTGTAAATCCAGAATTTTTAGTGTTTTCATGTAACATAAAGGACAGATTTCATAACTTCAAGTGATCGATCAGGGCAAGCAAAACTCTTGCTATGCAAAAAGCAACACGCACATGTCAGGGACTGTACTTACTACAGGTGGCTACACTTAGCAAAAGAGAATTTAAAACTGATCTCATTTCTGGAGGGACAATCATTCTCCGGGACAGAAGCCCTTGATTTCGCCTAGTAATAGGTAGAGTTAGACAGGGAAAGGGAAAGGGGGTGGAAAACAGAAGTGAAAGAAAAAAGTTATTTGGAAACACAATTTGCACCATCAGGAAGCTGAGAATTTGACTGTATTGCACACTCAGCAGCATACAAGATTTCAACATTTTTTTTTAACTTTGGGAAGTTCATGCCAATGACAAACGAATACCCAATCATAGCGGGATGAATTTTTTTGGTTGCTAAAAATTTGTAGCTTTCTGTAGTATTAAACCCTAGAAACCTGGGGGAAAGAATTTCTAAATCATACATACTTGATTTATTTATATAAAAAAAGACACGTTGCTAAGCATTCAAATCTTTGGCTAAAGGGTAAAGGTAGTTTTTTAACTGCATCTTGAAGCTTATTTTGTCTCTTATTTTAAAAATATTTTCATACAAATAATTCATATTTTAGAACAAATGTCTAAAGCTTTATGATTGATTATTCCTAACACTTTCCCTGTTAATAAATTAAGCTAAGTTGACCAAATTATAACAATTAAATGAAATCTTAAAGCAAATGGGTTTAAACAGGAGCTTTCATATCTTTGTAGATGGGTGGATACATCTCTCTCTAGACAACAAGAGTTTAAAAAGCACACCTTAAAATTTTTATTTATTTATTTATTTATTTATTTAGATACTGGGGATCAAACTCAGGACCTTCCACTGGTGAGGCAGACAGTGGCACCACTGGGCTCAATCCCCGGCCCTAAAAGAACACTTTTAAGACAGCAGAATGGTGCACACCTGTAATCCCAGATACCTGGGGCTAAAGTAGGAAGATCACAAATTTGAGGCAAGCCCGGACAACTTTAGTTGAGAACCTGCCTCAAAATAACAATAAAGATGGTCTGAGGATGTTGCTCAGCGGTAGAGCTCTTGCCTAGTGCATGTGTGAGCCCCTGGGTTTACTTTTCAGTGCTGAACAACAACTTTCAAAAAGTATACTTTCAAATTGAACTCATTACACCTCACCTCTTCTTTTGAAGTGTATTCTAAGGAAATAGTCTGGAATTCAGACAAATATTTTGCACAAGGATGCAATAGTGGCATTACAGAAAGTTAAAAATAAAAAAGAGGAAGCCCTAAAAACTACCATTTTTTAAAAAAACTGAGGTTCTTTTAAACAAAGTATGGGATATTTATTAACTACAGTAGAATATTGGCCACATAAAATAAGGTATAAGGAGTTTTAAAAAAATAGGAACATGCTTTTAACATGAAGTTTAAGGAATGGGATGCAGGATTTTATATATATGATGTTAAATTGTGTTTATGAGACCATTATGATCAAGTGAATATGAACAGAGAAATATGAGTGAAATATGGCAAATGTTAGTAACTGGTATCTTTGGGAAAGTGGTATTATAGCTAAATTATTGTTTTGTTCCTGTATTCTAAAATGAGGTCCTATATGCAACACACACACACACACACTCAAACCGCTTGTAATTTCCTATACATTATGTCCTCACTGTCATCAGTCTTCCCTATAGAGCCATCTTGTGCTGCCTGAAACACATACGCAGACTTGGTAAAAAGAGATTTTTTTTTTTCTCTAAAAATGCTTAGCACTTCTTGAGCTCAATGAAAAAAGTGTTACAGGCATTAGAACTGTCTTATGCTCTGAGTCAACAAAAAGGAAAGTCCGATGGTACCAACATGAAAACAATTTACAAATGTAGTATACAGCATGATGAGAACTGTACTGAAAAGATCCAGTTCAAATTTGAGGCCAGTCACTTTGGTTGTTGTTCCTAACTCACTTTCAATCATTATTCCCACAAGTCCAAGCCATCTGAGGTCCTCTGAAGTATACTTTCATTCCAAGTCTATTTTGAGCACAATCCTTTGTTGAGTCAAGACAATTGGCTTAATATTTCAAGCCAAGAAAAGCTCAATAAATGTGGAAAAAAACAAGGTGAAGAGACTGCATATTTCCCATCAGTTTGTATCCCTGCATGTCTTAATAAGGAAATGCGAGTCTTTCCAATTTACCAGTAAGGACTCCTTTATACATTAAAGTCTGGGTAAGTCTCCTCTGCCTGCAGAAGGCTGACATAAAGTAGTCAAAATGTTCTACTTCCTGGCACTGAGGGTGTGGATTATACTTTGTAAGAAAGTAAGAGGGAGTAAGGTTGTCTTAAAACTTCATTCCTATTTTGCATAAAAGGTACTGAAAAACCATATCATTCAGTTTGTAAAGATTTGTGAAAAATCATTTGAACACATTATTCTTATGTGTTTCCTCCAATGTTTACGAAGAACTACTTGTTAAACAGGACAGCTGGCTGTGTCCCTTGCTACTTGGTGCACACAGGCTCAGACACGAAAGGCAGCAAATGGCTGATATCAAGCTGACCAACTGTCCACACAGCATGCTGGTATGAACAGTCTGTCTGGTGCTGAGCTATTTTCCCCATAAGACTCCAGAAGAGACTTAAAAAGACATTATCAGTAATACAGTTTTGAGTAATGTCTTTAAAAAGTCAGCAACAAAACTTTAGTCTCAGAATTTAATGTACGGACTTCAAGAAAAAGATCAAATTTGAACATACTAGAAGCCAGCAAATTTTTTCATAAAGGGCTAGTAGACATTTCTGGCTTTGCTGGACATACGCTGTCTGGGACAACTATTTAGCTCTGTCCAAAGAGTGAAAAAAATAGCCATCGGTAACATGTAAATGAACAAAGCTGGCTATTTTCCAATAAAACTTTATTTACAAAGCAGGTAGCAGTGGGGTTTAGCCTGTATGCTCTAGTTTATCAACTCCTGAGCTAGATTACTTCGTGTTCCTGAAGACAGGCGAGACCCCTATGTTCTGTTGAACAGGAGAAAGCTCCTGGAATGCGAGCCCCGCTTCTCACCTGCTTGGAGAGGACAAAGCATTATAGACACTGCCATAGCAGCTGGTGTAAGGAGAATGTGCTGGGGTCTCATAGTCACAGTGTCCTACTGTTACTTGGGTCCTCCAGTTCCCAGAAGCATTTATAGATGACACTAGAAATAGAAAAAGAAAGAGAAGTTAGTTGAAATACTCCAAGTGATGTTTATGTCACGTTGATGTACATTATAGATTGTATGCTGAGTAGAGATTAAGAGGCCAGATTTGTTTTTTTTGTTTGTGGGCTCAGGACCTTGCCCTTGCGAGGCAGGTGGAGGCACCACTGAGCGAAATCCCTGGCCCTTAGCTGCTTTTCTTTAAGATTCAGGTTTTTCATCTGCAGAGTGAGGATGACAACACAAATATCTTCTATGTAAGTATGAGACCAGGATTAAATAATAAAATTATGAACATTTTTAGCACTGTGCCTAACACAAAGTGAACACTTAAGAAATGATAACCATTGTTATTATTAAAAGGAATAAGGTCAATTAAAAGACAAAGTTGTCAGGTAAAAATAATTTTAAAACTAAAAGGAACAACAACAACAAACTCCCATATTAAGAGAATTTATGAGGGGGTAAGGGGGAAAAATGAGAACCGAGACCTGTCATGTAAAGTACGAGATCCCAATGATGAATGTCACTGTACTATATACCAAAAAGTACCAATAAACTCAATAAAAAAAATAAAAATAAATAATTTATGCACCAGGCCACGGTGGCTGAACACATACAGCTTTAGGTATGAAGGAGACGATGAGTCTGAGTGTGTCAGAGGCCTCTGGAGGAAGCTGACTTGTTGAGACTCGACTCTTTCTCAGCCAAAGGCAACACAGGCCACTTGCAAGACCAAGGCATGCAT